TTGACTGCGAACCATTAATAACTGCTCTCTGAGAACGGTTATCTGACCAGTTATGCACTCACCTTATAGCCCCATCTAAGTTGTATGTGCCTAGTTTATTGATAAGAAGGTCATGTGAGATCATATTAAATGTCTTATTAAAGACTAGGTATACCATGTCCACTGCTTCTCCCTTATCCACAAGGCTTGTTATCCTTTTGAAGAAAGTGATCAGCCTGGTTTGACATGATTTGTTCTTTACAAATCCATGCTGGATGTTACCTGTCATCTTATTTTCTTCCAGATGTCTGTCGTACAGTGTGTGCATAATCGTATGATTAATGGAATATATGTCTATTTTAGCCCTCAGTTTTGGAAATAAGTGTTTTATGAAGAGTTGTGATAAAGTGATTGCGTGCGGTGCGGATCGTTGCTCTGGTCCTTAACTCAATTTTTGTGTTTTGGTAAATAAAATGAAAATGTATGAGCTTCATTGAAATCATTGCTTTAGGGTGGGGCTGGGGATGTGGGGTTCATTATGCAGGCTGTCCCAGGGAGACAGGACTATCCCAGCCCTCTCTCGCCATAGCAGCTAAGGAGGAGTGTTTTTTTGTTTTGTTTTTTTAAAGAGCTCAAGCATATAGGGATAAAATGAGAGGGTCTATAGTGAAAAATAGGTTAAACTGTAGTGGTTGTGCAGAGCACTTGTGGCTATTGGATCCGTTACATATTTATATTTACTTATTTTTGCTCTCTTCATTCTGCTCACCCGCCACTTGCCTTTTAAAATGAATGTCCTCCGGTCTTGTTTCTTAGATCCCATCCTAGGTCTTGGACTTAATGTGGAGGGTTATATCATAAGGGGATAAAGACCTTTGATAACTTGAAGAATCTAGCATTTCTAATGTAATCTAGCTTTGAGATATTGGAGCAGGATCCTCATGGCCTTTTCTTCCAGCTCTCTGGCATTGGCTGGGGAGAACAGGAGCGAAGTATTGTATGAGAAAAAGGTAACGCAATAAGAGTTTGAGGTTTTAATCTTGGGAAAGTCAGTACATTTGAGAACGCTCTTGCACGTGGGAAGGACAATGTGGCTTGTGTTATGTGACTACACAATGTTATATTGTGTGTAGTGATACAGAATCTTTCAGGCATCTCTGGGTATGAAAAGTGCAGTTGTTTAATATTGCAAGTGTAGAATGATCTAGTATGAGACCTTACTGTGAATGCGTACAAGAACTGTAAAAATTCTCCATGGTCATGTTAACTTTGGAATGACTTTCACATGACTTTACTGTGGTGAAATTGTCACTATAGGTGTTGCCTCCCTAAACTGGGAGATTCTGATCTGGCCAGAAAGCCCAGTTGGCTGGGAGTCATGCAGCAGGAGGGCTGGTTGCAGGGAGCTCCGGGGAGCCTGATGGGGCTTAGAAGCAGCCCAGCAGGGGAGCCGGGGCTGGGGTTGAGTGGCAGCCTGGCATAGGAGATGGGGTCATGTGGCAGCCTGGCAGGGGGGTGGGGCACGTGAACTGGGAAGCCAGGGCCATGCGGCAGCCTGGCAGGGGGCTGGAGCCATGGATGCTGGGGTACTGGGGCCTCGTGGGAACTCAGTAGGAGAGCTGGATCCAGGGCCACAGCGGGCAGGGGAGAATGGGGATGGCAGCCTGGCAGAGAAGCTGGGCCACTGAGCTAGGACCATTGGCAGGCAACCCGGCTGGGGCCATTAGCAGGGTAACCAGCCAGAGCTGAAAGCGGAGCCAGTGGCAGATTAGAAAGCCGGGAACATGAGACCTCCCCAGTCTAGCAAATTCCCCGATTCGGGCTGGGTCTACTGGAACAGGGAGGTCCAGCCTGTACCATCTAAGCGTAGATTTTATTTTTGCTTAAAATTCCGTTAAAAAAATATTAGCTTTCTATCAGAGGTATAGGGGAAACTCACTTTGTTCTTCTCCAGTAACAGAAGGCGGATACTCAGAAGTCATGTAGTACAGGACAGACCCAACAAAGAGAGCAACAGAGCACCACTAGCCATTACCTACAGACCCCAGCTAAAACCTCTCCTACACATCATCAGGATCTTACAACCTGTCCTAGATGACTCTCTGGCCTTTGGAGGCAGGCCACTCCTCGCTTACAGACAGGCCTCCCAATCTGAGACGAATAATCACTATCAAATTCACGCCCTACAACAGAAACACTAATCCAGGAATGGTTGGTTCCCTGCAAGAAACCCCACTGCCAACTCTACCCTAGTGACACCATCGCAGCACCTAACCATCTCACAGGGATAGCCATGTTGGTGTGTAACTAAAAAAACTTAAACAACGAATGGTCCTGTACCACCTTGGAGACTAACCAAAATATATAGATAGTATCATGAGCTTTCGTGGGCACACAGCACAGGCAGGGCAGGTGTGTATTGGCTCGAGGGGAGCTGACCGCTGCCCTGTGTGTAACCACTGAAAATTTCAGCAGATACACGGTTACTTAATTACATCACAAAAAGTAATTTCCCCTTCTTGTACTCGCACCACCATTGGATATGAGCAATATCCACTCAGATGTAATTAGCACTGATGTCACACTCCCATCTCTGTATCCCCTTTTTTCTTTTCCTTTCCTTTTCTTTTTTCTTTCCCTTTCCCTTTCCTTCAAGCATCTGAAAGAGTGAATTGTATCTCACAAGTTTATGCCCTAATAAATTTTAGTCTTTAAAGTGCCACTGGACTCCTTGGTTTTTAACCTTAATTTTGTTAAGGTTTGTCTGGTTTTGGTTGGTTACTTTGAATGTTTTCTTAACTTAAACTTGTGTATATGTTCGTAAATAAATATATGCTACAGGGGCAGGTGTATGAACAGACAAATGATAGGAATAAACCAAGTGTTGCTACTAGTGTTCATGACATAATTTTGAACCATTTAACACTACCTTGACCAAATAAATCCCTCTGAGTTAGTCTGTAAGTTCAAAAATGAGTATTCCCGTGGCACCTTAGAGACTAACAAATATATGTACTATCGTGAGCTTAATAACCAAAGCTCATGATACGATTTATATTTTTGTTAGTCTCTAAGGTGCCACAGGACTACTCGTTTTTCACCAAACCAGGATCCTCCACTGGAGAAGCATATTGCATCATGGAATGGCACACCCTAACACTCAAAGGAAACCTGCTTCAGTATAGGGAAGAAGGTCTGACTACACATCCTTACTTACCACCTGTCCCCCCCTTCCTCCTCGCTGGAACTCATACAGGACAGCATCAAACAATTACAATCCTTACTTGATGGGGACAGCATCCTGAGAGAAATTTTTCCTGAATCGCCTCTTCTGGCCTTGCCTCTCCAAGCTTCTCATCAGAAGCTAGCTCCCCACACACCAACTCGAAGTAGCACCAGGTGCTCCCATGATGCTAGATGCAGATCAGTATCTCTGCTGTTACAGTGATCAGTATTTCCCACAATGCACTTTTCAGGATCCCTGGGTCCTACATGTGCCTCACAACATGTGGTGTACCTCATCCAGTGCATCAAATGCTTCAACGATGTGGGTGAAATAAGGGAATGGCTACGATTCTGAGTAAACGTGCAAAAAATTGATACAAGTCAAAAGCTCCCTAATCGCTGCGGGCAAACACTTTTCTCATTCGCATATGTGACACATTGGTCGTCTTTGTCAGAGGAAGCCTGAACAACACCTGCTGAAAGTGAGCCTGGGAGCTTAATTGCATATCGCTGCCAAACTCTAAAAATGATGGACTCAACAGAGATGCTGGCTTTATGAATTACTACAACAATCTATAATCCACTAACCCACTTTCTTTTTATGACTATAGAGGTATTAATTGCTCCCTTCATTGTCTTCTCACAACATATGTTTACCTCCGCATAGTCAATAGACAGACTGCAGCCCAAATCCAGAGTGCCAGATGCTTTTGAATGGACCCCAAAATCTTTTTTTACTTAGTCATTATTATTTTTTAAATTGTTTTCTCTGGAGCCTGGACTATATCTTGACCAAGAAACTTAGACCTTAACAAAAAAAAAAAAAAAATGACTACCTCTGGTTTCTCTGTCTCGCTAAAAATGTGACACTTAGCATTTTTTAAACATGATGCTGAGTTTGATGTAGCTCTCAAACTTGTCTTTCACCAAAGATATAACATCCCTTCCACCTTGTATGTATCATGTGTTTTAAAGTGTCCAATCATACCCTGCTGCATTTGCAACTTTGAGAGTCCCATACTTTATTAATTTCAGAAACTGGTGACATTCTGCCTCTGCTGCTATGTCATTTGATACAGTCCTTTGGCTTTTACATCTAATAAACAGCTGTGCAGCATCTAATTTTAACATTACAGCTTTCACTTACTCTGTTTGTCTGCCCCAGAAGTTTCAAGTTCTGCAAAAGGCATTTGGGCTTCATACAATACTTTATATTTTATAGGTAGCTAGTGCATCCTGATCAAGAGCAGATGCTCAGAAAGATTCGTAATTAATTTCTGAAAAACAGAATAAGATGGTGTTTTAGACATACTACATTTTTCATATGAAATAATATATTAACTACAGTGCCAATAAAAATGTTGTCCAGGCGTGCTGTGGCTATTATAGACTTAAGTTGTAGTCAGGTTTCTTTGATGGTAGCCAGCAAAATTCCTTGACTCCTTCATTATACAGGATTGTTCTTAATTGTATAGTATTTGGCTATGATTCCCAAATGAGAATGTGGTAGAGTGTAAAGTCTGTAATACCTTGGAAATATTCTTTCTTAGTCTGCTGTATGGTTGCAATCTCTTCTCTTCCCCTCACTACATGTTCGATAAGTGTGGTTCTAATGCTAGTTAGTGTCTATGCCTAGCTTTTACTATTTAGACTTAAAACTAACAAGTCACAAAAACAATTGTAGTGCTGTTGACATTTATGGTATCACATGCCCAAGAATATCACCAGTCAAAGTTAGTCATCCAGAGAGCTCTGATTTTCAGAGTGTAGTTGCTTACACATATGTTCTCTTTCAGGAATTGATAGCCGGTACAATGAAGGCTGTAGAGAGCTGGCCAATTACCTTCTCTTTGGTTTGTATAATCAGAATAACAGTGACTTTGAGAGAACTGGATTTCCTGAAGAAGTTCTTGATGGTGAGTAATACAATGTTAAGCATTGAATTTGCACACTTGCTTCTTAATGTCCATTTCCTGGGGCGGGGGGAGGAAGGTACATAGTTACACTTGGAGTGTTATGTACGGTGTAAAAAAATTCCTGGGAAACCATTATAAATTCTCATCATACGAAAATTGTAGTCTTAACAGAATTGAAAGGTTATTGACTGAACTGGGAGTTCTGTTACATCAGCGTATTCAGGGTGCCAAAATTAACATGAAATGTAGGGTGTTGAAAAGTTTTAAAAAATATTCTTTGTACTGCTATGTCATGTTTGGTTGAGAGTGGAAGAGAGAAGTGAATAGAAGTAGGTGGCATTATGTGAAGTATCTAATGTCTACGCTTAGGTGGTAAGATGGCTTTGCATATTGGCATACTGTTTCCATATCGAGGAAAAAAATATTTTATGCTGAAAGGGTACATCTGGTTTCTGCTCTCTCTGCCCTTTGAGTGATCTTGATAATGCAGTATGAGTGAGTAATTTCATACTGGAACAAATACAGCTGTTTGTACAGTGTTATGTAAGTGCTCACCATTATCACAGTTTTTTTTTAAGGGACATGGTGAGGTAAGCTTCAGGATAACAGGTTAGAATGTTCATAACCGTGTTCCTGAGAGAGCAATATGCTTTTTTTTTTTTTCCCCCCTTCCTGAAATGGGTAGCTGTGTTCAGTGAAAGTGGGATTGATCTAGTAGCAAATGAAAATAACAGACTGGAGATTTAAAACAATCAAAAGGAAGTATTGTTTCGCAAAAACTACAGTCAACCTATGGAACTCCTTAGGATGTTGTGACGGCTAAGGCTAGGTAGGCAAATCAGGCAACCGGAGTTGCAAATGAAGCCTGGGATTTAAATATCCCGGGCTTTATTTGCATGTTCCCGTCTGGCCACCATTTTTAAATCCCCCTTTGTTCGAACAAACTGCCCACAGCTACACACGGCAGTTTACAGTTAATCCGAACTAAGTCCTTAGTTCGGATTGACTGTTACATCTCATTCCACGAGGTTGCCTGATTTGCCTACCTAGCTCGAATTAACGAGCTAGTGTAGACATACCCTAACAGGGTTCAAAAAAGAACTAGATGGGTGCATCAATGGCTTTTAGCCAGGATGGGCCAGGGTGGTGTCCCTAGCCTCTGTTTGTCAGAAACTGGGAATGGGCAACAGGAAGTTATCATCAAGTGATCATTCCCTATTCTATTAGTTCCCTCTGGAGCACCTGGCATTGGCCACTGTTGGAAGACAGTACACTGGCTAGATGGACTTTTGGTCTGACCTGGGATGGTTATTCTTAAGTAGCATTTTCCATCGTGCATTTGAATTACTCTTGCCGATTTTTTTTTTTTTTCTTTAATTGGGTACTTGGTCAGACAACATTTCCGATTCAGTTCCGTAGGTTTCTGTATACATATAATTTAGACTTCTGGTTAACAATTTGTGGCAATGAAGTTAAAGTAGTAATGTGTGATTTGACTCTTGTTTTGATTATTGCAGATGTAATCATATTAATCAAACCTGACAGTGTCCATCTGTATTGTAACCCTGTCAACTACAGTTATCTTTTGCCATATGTGGCATACTGGAGAAACTTGCATTTCCATTGCCTGACTGAAAACGAGGTGAGTGAAGGCAGAAGGAGTACATGAAACTAGTAACTGATACTCAAAGGTTTCCACATGTATTTTTGCAAAGTTGTCTTTTTGATAGACTGCAGACTGTCTTTTGATGTTAATGGGAAGCACTACATTTTATGTTAATTTGCTAAGTTTTGAAGAATTAACCTATTATTGAATGCTGTGTGCTAGCAGAGAAATAGATAAAACAAGGCTGAGGAAAGGGTTCACTTCCTGGTTCTCCTTCCCTGGACAGGGTCATTGATTTGACAGAAATTGATGGTCATGTCACAAGAAAGGATTATTTGTGGCATAAGCAAAATACGGAATCTGAACTAAGTACTGCAGTGAACACAGAAATACCTAACAGTAGCTTTTTTCATTATTAAAGTCTCTTCAATGTCAGTCCAAGTATTTGCAAGTGCAAGTCATTTAGTAAAGTAGGGAAAATATAAATCGGAATCTGCGAAAAGCTTGGATTAGTTTAACCATTTAAAGAAAAATAATCTTTTTCTTTGTTTATTTTAAGAGACTGCTACTGTCCCTACAAAAGTGAATGGGAGATTTTTCCATTAAGTGTAATAGAAACCACTTGGGGCTATGTCTTATGATTGTAGTAAATTAAACGTCCCTTTAAACTGTCCCTTTTAAATTCTGGTACATTGATCAAGAAGTTGATTTTTAGAGCAACTAATCTGGCCCTTTGAATATCACAGGCCACCTGTATGGTACAGGAGCTAGTTTTTGACCAAACACACATTCAGTCTTCATTAAAAGACATCAAGAGATGGAGAATCTACCTTGGGAGCTGCTTATGGGGAATCCTCCTGGCTGGTGACTATTTGTATGTTATTTCTAGTATGAGTTCACTTTCCAGTACCCAGCCAGGGGGATTACCCACAGGAAGAATCTGATCTAGATTCTCAGAGAAGTAAGGGTGTCCCTCACCTCCCCCAAATAAATTAATCAAGAAGGGGAAAAACTTGGCCAACACTGGGTGCAGAGTCTCCTCGCCCCAAAGAATGTTATCCCTCTCTCCTGTATTACTTTGCTGAAATCCACTGGTGGTAAGAGGGTTGACATGGGAAGCTGGGAGTAAGTTGGGGAAGAATGAACGGAAAATGATGGGTATCAGCTTCTGGATGCAGCCCTTGGTAAGATTTCTAGGAGAGAGCTTTGGCTCTTTCCTCTCCTCCCTTTGGTGCCTGTGTGTGTAAAGGGAAGGGAGATGCAGTGAGTGGGTGGATGGATCAATAGAGACTGTGGAAAGGACAAATTGAAGGACATGAACAAGATGATAGAGGGAAAAGGAAGATTTGAAACTGTTGTGGAGGAAGCACTTAAAATTTTGAAAAGTAGTATTTTTATGTTGATAGTCTAATTGCCGTAAATTCAACCTTATTTTTCTCTTCTGTAGATGAGGACATTATGTCCTTCTGTTTGTAACTCCTACTTAATATGTATACAGGTTGGACCTCCCTGGTCCAGCACCCCCAGGGCCTGATTGCTCCTGAATGAGAGAGTTTGCTGGACCAGGAGAGGTCAACGCTGGCCCCCCTGCCACCGGCTTCGCTGGGCTACTGGCCCCAACAGGGCTGTTGGTCCAGCTTCCGCCATACTGCTGGCCAGACTCTCAGTCCCAGCAGGGTTCTTGGCCGCTAGTCCCACTGTGGCTGGCCTGACTGGGCTCCCGGTCCCCCTGTTCCTGAGCTGCTGGTTGCTGGCCCTGCTGCTGGCAGCTTGACTGGGCTCTTGGCTCCAGCGGGGCTCCTGTCTGCCAGCCCTCCTGCCACCAGATTCCTGGTTGCTGGGGTTCTTTGGTCCAGGAAGGGTACCATGGATGTTGCTAGACCAGTGTGTCACCGTTTTGAGAGGGTCAGATTATACTTAGATTTATAACAAAAGAAATACAAAATATACTTCACAACTTTTATATACCTCTCTAGCTGCCTATGACAGAAACTCGAGATTTAAGCATCCAACTAAAATAAGCAGCTTACCCATAATCAGAAAACTTCAGTAACAAATGTAAAGGTAGACTCTCAACAGACTTTTTCCGTAACAGTCCTACTGAGGAGAGAGGCCTTTTGATGTGCTTAGGTCAACATACCCAGGCTACCCCCCAACCAAAGGTAGCAGTAGATTCCAAAGTGAGGGCCCCATGCTAATTAATAATAATAATCATTAATCATGCATAGCATCATAAATGTGCTGTGCAATTAGAAATATTTTAATCTCTTTAAGAAGATAAAGTAGGTTTGAAAAATCTGGTTATGTTGCTGTTCTCTGATTAGCTTCGTTGTGTGTGGTCTGCTCTAGTTAAGTAGGAATGAAATGTCATGCTGCTTCAAATTGCAAATTATGAACAGAAAGATGAGCCAAATACACTATTTGGATAGTAGATAGTGAAATAAACTGACAATTCTGAGGTTCATTGTGCTGTAAATATGCTGATTTCTGGGTTACTGCATATGAACATCCTCATCACAGTGTGATGGACTTTTCTAATGTATATGGGACTGCCAGTTTCCTAGAGAGCTTTTGGCTGTTCATAGCTGTTATGAAATCTTGTCAGCCTTCAGACACCATTTTAGATTTATTCTTTCTGACAAATCATTGCCTCTGGCTTTTTTTTTTTTTTTTTAGTTTTGTTTGTTTTCCGTTATAGTGGCCTACCAAGTGTTGCTTATTTTTAGCTATGCTTTTATAACAATGGCAAAGCTTTAAAATAACAATAACAATAGCAAAGCTTTAAAAAGGAACAAGTCACATGGGTCTTGTGCAGCTCTTATACAACATTGCAAAATTTAGTGTTCTCCTATCTTTCTACTTGGTCACAATGTGTTTTCGGTGACTGTGCTGAAAAGTAATGGGGAAAATGCATTGAAAACATCTCTTATAAATAGCAATATAGCACAATAAAGAGGTAATTTCAAATTCTTATATATCACATTTCAGAAGTATGCTGTCTGTATACTACATATTGGATGGAATGTATTTACAATTGTACTGAAAAGCCACGAGCCATCTCTGAGTGTCCCCCTGGAAACAAAGAAAGCTAGTTCTGAAGGCATATTCAAATCTAATTGGAGTTACTGACACAGTCAGTTGAGCACAGGTTGAATTAGGGATTGTTAAAGATATAAATGGCTTTGTTTGGCTTGCCTTTTATGAGAAAAGGTAGTTCCATTTCCTGTTTCACATGAATCTGAGTATCACTCACTCTTGGCTCTAAAGCAGGGGTTCTCTTAACACATTTCTTGATGTGAAAAAATTACTTAGAAAACTTAGAAGTGTGCAAGTCACCAGAGCCTGATGAAATGCATCCTGGAATACTCAAGAATCTGATAGAGGAGGTATCTGAGCCTTTAGTTATCATCTCTGAAAAATCATGGAAGTCGTGAGAGATTCCAGAAGACTGGCAAAGGGCAAATATAGTACCCATCTATAAAAAGGGAAATAACAACAACCCAAGAAACTGCAGACCAGGCAGTTGAACTTCTGTGCTAGGGAAAATAATGGAGCATATAATTAAGGAATTTATCTATGAACAGCTGGAAGGTAATAAGGTGATAGGTAACAGCCAGCATGGATTTGTAAAGAACAAGCCATGTCAAACCAATCTGATAGCTTTCTTGGACAGGATAATAAGTCTTGTGGATAAGGGAGAAGCGATGGACATGGTATACCTACACTTGACTAAAGCATTTGATAAGGTCTTATGACCACCTTATCAATAAATTGGGGAATTACAACCTAGATGGAGCTACTTTAAGGTGGGTGCATAACTGGCTGGATAACCTTTCTCAGAGTAGTTATTAATGGCTCAGAGTCATGCTGGAAGGGCATAACAGGTGGGGTTCCACGGGGGTCTGTTTTGGGATTGGTTCTGGTCAGTATCTTCATCAACAATTTAGATATTGGTTTAGAGAGTATGCTGATTAAGTTGGCAGAGGATACCAAGCTGGGAGGGGTTGCAAGTGCTTTGGAGAATAGGGTCATAATTCAAAATGATTGGGGCAAACTGAAGAAATGGTCTGAGGTAAATAGGATGAAGTTTAATAAGGATAAATGCAAAGTACTCCACTTAGGAAGGAACAATCCATTTCACACATACAGAATAGGAAGCTATAGTCTAGAAAGGAGTTGTGCAGAAAGGGCTCTAGGGGTCATAGTTGACCACAAGCTAAATATGAGTCATCAGTGTGATGCTGTTGCAAAAAAAGCAGACGTGATTCTGGGATGCATTAACAGGTGTGTTGTGAGCAAGACATGACAAGTCATTCTTCCGCTCTACTCTGCGCTGGTTAGGTCTCATTTGGAGTATTGTGTCCAGTTTTGGGCACCGCATTTCAAGAAAGATGTGGAGAAATTGGAGAAGGTCCAGAGAAGAGCAACAAGAATAATGAAAGGTCTAGAGAACATGATCTGTGAAGGAAGACTGAAAGAATTGGGCTTGTTTAGTTTAGAAAGGAGAAGACTGAGAGGGGATATGATAGCGATTTTTAGATATCTAAAAGGGTGTCACCAGGAGGGGGGAGAAAAATTGTTCTCCTTGGCCTCTGAGGATAGGACAAGAATCAATGGATTTAAACTGCAGCAAGAGAGGTTTAAAGGTTGGACATTAGGAAAAACTTCGTAACTGTCAGGGTGGTTAAACACTGGAATAAGTTGCCCAGGGAGGTTGTGGAATCTCTGTCTGGAGATATTGAAGAGCAGGTTAGATGTCTAGTACTGGGTCCTGCCACGAGGGCAGGGGACTGGACTTGATGACCTCTCGAGATCTTTTCCAGTTCTAGTGTTTTATAGTTCCAAGCTCTTTCATTATTATATGCACATTTTCCATGCAAAAATCCCTGTTGGTCCTAACCATGTTGTAGTTGGTGATGGAAAGAGAGAGAGGCTTTCTTGGAAATTGAGGGTCAAGTATTTGTGGTTGTTCACATGTTCACTTTTGTATTTCAGTTTTGAAAACAGTGTCCTTTGGTCTTCATATGTTTATACTATGATGTCTCAAACCTCCAGATTATAGGGGTTAGTTAAATAGCTTTAGAGAGAGCCTTTGTTACTGTGCAGAATAGTGTAATGTATGATCAGCATTGGTTAAAATATATTTATTAAAAATATATTTTAATAATAAAAATCTCCAGTCAGAAAATGTTGTTTAATAAAATGATTTTTAAAATTACTCCTGTCAGTATGAAGATGAAGAAGCTGCAGAGGAGTTTAAAATTGCCAGCTTCGTAGATATGGTTCGAGATTGTAGTCGAATCGGAATTCCTTACAGCTCCCAAGGTGTGTAATACTGTATTACTTCATTGTTTTGGTGAATTGTTGGTTTGTCAGAATAGAAGTATGACACTGTAACAACTATGAATTAAAATACAGGTTGAATCTCTCTCTAGTCTGGTACTCTTGGGACCTGACTGGTGCCGAACCAGAGAATTTGCCAAAATATGGGAGATCAATACTGTATAGCAGTATCACTAACACTTGTGCTTAGTTGGCTCTTACAAGACTTTTTGGGGTAAATTAGAGCTACATAACAGCACAGTACACTGAGAGCCAGGACTGGTGGCTGTAAACAAACTTTATGGGACTGTGGGAAACTTGGCTGCCCCAATGATAAGCGAACATGTGGCTAATGAAAATCATGCCGGACCATGGATGTTGCTGGACCAGAGAAGTTCAGCCTGTATGTCTAGAAGGTTGTCTATATTGTAAGTGAGCCTAGTGATTTTATCCATCTTGTTTTAATGTATTTTTTTTATATCAGGTTTTGAATTTCTTAGCATCTGAAACTTAAGTTATTGAGGTTTTTTTTATTGTCTTTTCAGAGAAAATAGTGTACGTGCACTCTAAATAGTGAATGCTTACAGCCTGAGGCAATGAAGTAATTTGCATGCTGGGAAAAGTGTTGGCTAAATACAGAAGTTCTCTGTTCTGATGGGGGCTTCAGATAAATACACTTTTGTATAGAGAAAGAATAAACTTTTTTATTCAAGCTTCCTTTTTTAGAACAGAAAAAACTGGCCTGCATGATTTCCTGTATAATCCGTTGCCAGGCTTCCAAGCTGAGCATTTCAATTTTATATTCCTGCACAAATGTGTTCAGAAATGCTAACCACATAGAGTAGTGGTGCAGAAATACTGCAGCACACTTACTCTGTAATCGTTGACAACTTTTTATTTTTTATTTTTAAAAGAGAACAATATACTATTGCAGAGATTCTTTTTGAGCTATGCATGTACTAGTAAGTCTGGCTCTCTGTTGATGGCTGGTAACCACTGCTGATGATTATGGTTGCATTCCATATTCAGCTCTAACTCTCCTTTATTTTAGTGCTCAGAACTTAAATTTCTTTTGTGTGAACACTTCTTGCTTGGTCTTGACAAAAGGTGACACACATTTACAAATATATGCAAAGACAGTTAGGGCAGTTCTGTGTTACGTGATTATAGAAAATGTACCTCTTTTCTGTAGTTTCTGTAAGAGAATTTGCATTCATAACTGAAATAACAGAAGCTAGTAAGTGTTTTTTAAATTTGTTTTTAAATAATAATCCATCCTTAGAAATGGAAGATGCACTAGTTTTCAAGTAATAAATATATGAAAAACCATTAGAACCTGTTTTTGTCTCAATTAAGGATGCACTTTTTCTTCTGCAGTTCCTAAACTCTGGTGACAATAGTCACACTCTAATTCAAGCAGTTTATATGCTCTGCTAATAAACTTACGCACTCATCAAGTTCAATAGCTTTAATTTTTTTAACTTATGAAAACATAGGGAATTTAGATGAGAAAAATTTGCATGAAGCAGCATTTAGCATAAGTGACTGCTTGAGAGGAAATTCAGAAAGCTAAGTTTACTTCCTCTGGGGTATTCTGGGCATTTTACGATGCATTGTGCATTTGGTTCCTGATTTCCTTTGCTTATTTACAATTGGCATCATAGGCCCAGAACTCTACAAAAAAACATTTCAGTGGTGATAGTCTCATTAGGTTGAACAGGACTGCTCATGAGTGTAGTTACCTGTGTGCTGAAGTGTTTTGTGGGACTTGAACCTCCATCTTCATAAAACACTGTAAAAGACATACAGTGCGATCTAACTAGTGTTGTGAGAAACTATGGAAATTCTGTAACACTGAAATTTGTTTCTCTGCTTTACCAGGTTAACTTTTTCATGCAATTATTTTTAGTTTACCTTCCCTCCAACCTTCTCTCCAAATATATTGGAATATTTTCCAAAAGTAAAATACTGGTGTTTTTTTTGCTTAACAAAAAAGAGAAAAAGCCGTGGCGTTCCTCATTTAAAAAAAAAATAGTTTGATATTCTTCGGTCTTAAAAAGATTAAGAAACACTGACATGTAGGCTATGTCTAGACTGGCATGATTTTCCGGAAATGCTTTTAACGGAAAAGTTTTCCGTTAAAAGCATTTTCGGAACAGAGTGTCTAGATTGGCATGGACGCTTTTCCGCAAAAGCACTTTTTGCGGAAAAGCATCTGTGCCAATCTAGATGCGCTGTTCCGCAAAAAAGCCCCAATCGCCATTTTCGCGATCGGGGCTTTTTTTGCGCAAAACAAATCTGGGCTGTCTACACTGGCCCTTTTGCACAAAAAGTTTTACTCAAAAGGACTTTTGCCCGAATGGGAGCAGCATAGTATTTCCGCAAGAACACTGACAATCTTACATGAGATCGTCAGTGCTTTTGCGGAAATTCAAGCGGCCAGTGTAGACAGCTGGCAAGTTTTTCCGGAAAAACTGGCCAGTCTAGACACAGCCCTAGAATCTATATTTTAAATCTTCCAGCTTGTTCTGTATTCTTTCTTTTGTATTAACAATCAATAAGTTGTTTTCTTTAGATTTCATTTGAACTCTTGTGACAATCAATATGAAATATTTACATTAGAGAGTGAAAAGACTATTTAGTGTCCTTTTTAGAACCCTTAGAATAACTTTGGCACATTATAGAAAGGTGAGATATTGTAAAGCTTCATTTTAATATGTCATTTAATATTATTTTATGAAATATTCAATTCCTATAGGTCATCTACAGATATTTGACATGTTCATTGTAGAAAAGTGGCCAGTAGTACAGGCATTTGCACTGGAGGGGATTGGCGGTGATGGCTTCTTTACTATGAAATACGAGGTATGTATGAAGTGTGTACTTTTGGTTATGGTTACCTATGTATAGAATCCACTCCTCCAGCCCCTTCCCCTCTAAAACAAAATTATCCTGACGTGAAGTTGGCAGCACTCGTGGAGTAATGACGTGTTCATAGTCTATCTTATAAACTAAGGGCGTGTCTAAAGTACATGGCTCCGTCGATGGAGCCATGTAGATTAGGCTGTTCAGCAGAGGGAAATGAGCCGCAAATTAAATAATCGCGGCTTCATTTAAATTTAAATGGCTGCCACGCTGAGCCGACAAACAGCTGATCAGCTGTTTGTCGGCTCAGTGTGCTAGTCTGGACACTCCCGTGCCGACCTGAAAGCCCTTTATCGACCTCCCCATTATGCCTCGTAGGATGAGGTTTACCAGGGAGGTTGATAAAGGGCTTTCATGTCGACAGGGGAGTGTCCAGACTGCCCCGATCTGCTGACAAACAGCTGATCGGCAGAGCGGGGCAGCCATTTAAATTTAAATGAAGCTGCGATTATTTAAATCGCGGCATCATTTCCCTTTGCCGAACAAACAAATCTACATGGCTCCGTTGATGGAGCCATGTAGTCTAGACGTACCCTAAGTGTACTAGAAACTGGTGCCTTACTCCGCTGGAGAGCTATCACACTCCCTTTCTGGTGGTGGAGAGCACTTGTTTTGAGCCCTGCTATGTGGTAAGGCATAGATCTGAAAACAATAAAACATTTTAGATGACTGTTATGAGTACTTATGGCCATCACCTGAAGAAAGGAGGAATGACTGTAATCCCTTATTTGGATGATTTGTTGGTTCAGCTGTTCTGACAGTTGTTATTATGGCAGATCCCCTATCTTAAGTCAGGGTTTTGTGGGGCAACCTGAAATCACTGGACTGGGTTATCATTCCCAGTTCTGTCACTGACTTGCTGTTTCACTTTGGGTAAATGTAATGGCCTCAGTTTCCTGGTTTGTAAAATGGAGATGATAAAAGTTACCCATTCTATCTACAGAAGTATATTTTAATTTTAATTTTTTCACCTTCTTGGTCCATCTCCTTGCCTATGAAGATATCTGGAGTTCTCTGTTATCCGGTTCTCTCTAAATATTCTTGCCTCTAGACATGTGTGCTCTTCATCTAGGCTCCGCTTTTGGGCACCCTTGGTACATGTACCTTTTTTTTTTTTTTTTTTTTGTTACTCATCTGTTTGTCTTTTGACAGCTTAAATAATGCTCACTTTATCGTTAAAACTTTGGCCTAGCTGTGCTGCTGATCTGCCATTCTTTTCCTCTGCTGTGTTCATGTACTTGACTGCTTTGACTCTTCTGCTGAAATCCTTTCATCCATGCTTTCGTTTCCTTGTACCATCTTGAGCAGTGAACCTGTCAGCTCTTCAAAGGTGTGAGCAGGGTATCAATAGATTTGTGCTCTAATGGAGGTTTGACTAGTGCAGTGATACTCAAGACCACGGCTCCTGAATCTCAATTAGCTCTTAAATGTATTTTCTTTGGGTCTTTGTAGTATATGGCTTGAAACACTGTATGATTTTAATTATTAACCAATCAAGATGCTGTTATGTTGTTAACCAGTTGTAGCTGATGATAAAATAATACTTGGCAAGTCAATTTGCTGTGAGAATAATATCTAAAAACTCAAGATTTCCTGTCATTACAGTTTAAATATGAGCATATACTACTTTAATAAAAGAAACCATGAATTCACATGACTGTCTCTTTTGGGTAATTTTGATTGCTAATTTGGCTCATGAACCACTGAGGACTGAGTATCACTGGACCTGATGATGATGATGATGATGATGCTTTTTGGCTTTAAAATCTGTGGGTGAGACCTTGGCTCCATTGATGTCAATGGGAATTTTGCCACTGACTTCTTTGGGACTATAATATTACTTCATGAATTTGAGACCCCTCTAAGGATATGTCTACACTGCAATACAAAACTTCTTGCTGGACTGGGTCAGCTGGTTTGGCCTTGTTGGGCTTGAACTGTAGAACTCTAAGATTGCAGTGTAGAAGCACTTGGCTGAAACCTGGAATCCCAAAGATAAATCAGAACAATAAGTGCTACATACATGTGAAGTTATTGCCTATTCCCTTTCTGTATTTTGTTTGAGTTCTAGCTCTTCCAACTCTAGTGGTATGTTGATGCTTTTAACACTATCATACAGCTATCCATTCCCATTCTTGTGAATTCAAAATTATCCTTGTTAGAATATTTAAAAATGTTTTAAGACTTCTAAGTAGTTCTGTTCTTTTTTTCAAAAGCAGATAAGATTATTTTAATCAATATTTCAGAAAATATTTAAATCTCTTAATATTTTTTACAATATAAATGTGGCACGTGTTCATATTGTGTTATGCAGATAACTCCCTGTTAATGCATTTGGGTGTAAATGACAGATGAATGGAAACCATGTCTTGTAAGGTAGTCAGTTTCCAGATGGAATGAAGAGAGCAGTTGAAATGATGATGTAAAACAGTCATATAAAGAAACTTTCTATCATGGTTGCATCTTTAAAAACTGCTTGAAATATTTAAAAACCTAGAAAGCATTTAAACCATCATTGTCTCTGAATATTTGTGAAAGGTTATAGCTCCGTATGTGTTTACTTACATGGAAAATTGCTTTAAATTAGTATTAGTACTAGTTGTATGTTTCCTTAGCTTAGTACGGTCTGTCTTTCTGACCATTCATTCAGAACAAGGAATTGCCTCTTTTGGAATCCTAGCCATTTGACCTGTTTTCTTGCATTACTCTACAAGATTGATGCTCAGTCTCTTTTTAAATTTTAACTGCAAATTTGTCTTTCCCTTCTGGCTATATTTGCTGATGTCTTTTTTCTCTATTATAGTTTAACTCTGATAAGCCTTTTAAGATACAGTTTGTATAAAAAGAAGCACACGACTTAAATATATGCTACCTTCTATTAATGTGAAGGAGGTGATTCTTACAGGCTGGGATAGCCAAAGTTTTTAAATTTCATCCACTCTTGAATCTATCCAGTACCTAGAAGTTAAGGACTTGAGTTCCAAGAAAATCTGTGCTTAAAGTATTTTCACAGTAAAAAGATATATATTAAAACTTTTTTCCAGTTAATGGATGTCAGTGTGGATCTGTGGAAAACATACAGCAAAATGGATCCAGTTTCCCTGGAGGATTTGATTTTTGAGGTAATTCAATTGTAACTTTTTGAACTAACTCGTGATAAGTCTTAAATGAATTGTCAATTTATGCCACAGTCTAACAAAACACCTGGTTTGATTATCAGCCAAAGTCTGTAGGCTCTCCATATTGTGAATCCTGTAGTGATTTCTTTGGAAGTTTGTATATCTTTTTGTGAAATTAAAGACATAGTATTCCATGCCTTATCAAGTCTATAGTGATAATTCCTACAATTACATGAATTGGCTGTATTTTGTGCTAGTCATAGCACTATGTTTTATGTTTTTTTTCTTGACACCAGTCCTTCCGTGTATATTAAAAGAATAGTTTGGCAGCAGAAACATTCTGATAAAAGAACAATTATTTTACCTTAAACCTAATTGGGCCATATTAATTCATGCTTGCTTAACAGTTCAAAAGCAGATCAACAGTGACACACAGTGGCCACAGACACTTTACTAAAATACATTAGTTTGCATTTCCCAACTTATTTGTTCATTTTTTTTAATTGTATCCTTTGGTATATATGGTTGTGACTACTTTCTTCCACTATTTGATCTGAGGAAGTGGGTCTGGCCCACGAAAGCTCATCATCTAATAAACCATCTTGTTAGTCTTTAAAGTGCTACATTGTCCTGCATTTTGCTTCAACTACCCCAGACTAACAAGGCTACATTTCTATCACATTTCCCAACTGTTTTTTAATGAGGTAGTTTGGTTTTAAATGCCTCAAACAGTTTGAAGGTGGAGAAAAATATGCTGGTAGAAGAGTAGTGTCTTTGGTAGTTAACGTTTAGTTGACATAAACATCCAATTGCAAAGCTGCTTATTGTCTTAGCTAAGTCCACTTGTTTTGTTCATCTAAAACTTCAGTGAGTCTCAGGCAGTTAAAACACTTATTTGCCTTGATGGTTGTATTGTATTGTAGGCTGTATTGTCTTGTGCAGAGCTGCTTGTTGCTAAATTTATCAAGTAAACATAAATATAGTTTTGGCTTTTTATACCATTTTGAAAAGGAGTGCACAGTCTGAAACCCTTTTTTTAATCCTTCCCCATATTTTCTAGGACGTGCTTAGGAAAGCTATAGATGCCATTCCACATATTACATAATTGTGCAGTAATTTTAGATCCCTCACTAAACTTGGTTACAATTCTGATGCACTGTATTCCCGTCCTAAATATTCATCAGCATGATATATTTTGTTTTTCTCTATTCTTTTTCTGATGTTCGAATTTGATTCCGACCTTTCACTGCATTCACTTGTAAAAAGGTCTGCTCCTTTGTGTGGTCGTTCATTTCTGTTACACATCTGACATTCCGCATACTTGGTATACACACTTGCCATCTTTAGATGCATTGTTTAGTGGTAGAGGGGTAAATACACATGTGGCAGACCTCATTCTAATTATTCAAGATAATTTCCAGTAGTAAGTCACTTTTTCTCTCCTCTTAGTAGCTCTTTGCTGTTAAAAGTATAAATCTGTATTGAAACCATGTACAGATTCCTTGCTTGTAAAAAGCATTAGGCAGCACTTCATTTTTTATCTTGTTTATATTTTACACATTTGTCTCCTATATTTTTGAGTGTTTCTGATAGCTTCTACCCAGAAATCTAAAAACTCAATTTGACAGTCTCAAAATAAATGGCTTACTTTTTAGAATTGCTAATAGGGCAGAAGATGATTTTTCTAATCAAGGTTGAATTTTCCAATTTATATTAAACTTTGAGTGACAAAATTAAACTTTAGCGTCATAAAACTAGATTTTACATAACCGACCTGCGAACAAGAGTGTTCTAACACAGTTGATTTAACATCTGTGATATACTGTTCTGCTGACACGACACTAGCTGAACAATGTGTATTGCTCTTTCCCCACTCAGGATTTAATGATTTTCGAACATCAGTGGACCAGCTTTTTTGCTAATTTTGACACTGAAATTCCTTTCATCCTGGAACTGTCAGAATCTCAAGCAGGGGAGGTATGTTTACTTGTGAAACTGTTAGAAATGCCTCAGAGGGACAGTTGTGTAAGTCTGTAATTTGAAGAGTCATGCAACATTGAAATGCAAATGTCATGAATGCTGATTCATTATTACCAATTTGCAATTATATTTTATAGTGTTTTTTTTCCTGTTCTTCTCTTTCTTTTTCATTGTTGTGATTTATAAGCAAACTTCCCAATTCCAGTGTGGAAGCTTATGAATACTTCTCTTTTTCCTAAATTGTACAGTTCACGCTGTGACTCCTCTTTTGTTTAGCATGAGAGTACAGTGTAATAAAAATGTTGCCTCTGTGTAGATAGGCAATTTAACTTTTCAGCTAAACTCTAAGTTCAGCTTAGTACTGATAATGGACCTTCTTTGCATGGCATATCTGTTTGATAGATTCAAATATATGTGTGCATTTCATTTCACTTTGATGGTAAGAATTCAATCTACAAAAGCAATAAAAAAGAAAACAGATGGCAAATTTCAGATCAGTTTTAACATATTATGAGCTATTACTGGTTCCAGTTGCATTTAATATAATTTAATGATGTAATCAAGATCTGCGAGTTCTTTTTTTTTTTTTTTAAATGTACAATCATTTCTTAGTGCCTGTCTACACTGTGGGTGCTATAGGCACAGTAGTATTGACATAGTGCCATAGTACTTTCTACAGATACTTCCTACAGCAACTGAACTGGTTTTTCCATCACTGTATGTAATCCTCCTTCCCAGGAAGTGATAGCTAGACCTGTGGAAGTACTATGTCAACCTGATTTTGCTCACTGGGAAATAGATCATCATAGTTACAGTGCTCAGAGGTGTGAAGTTTTCATACCCTCAGGGATAGCATTAGCACCTCTGATTTACACTATGCAATCTTTTTCCATGTTGCTTTTTACTGTTGGAGTAGCAAAGTTGTGTTTTTGTTCTTTTTGTAGCCATTCAGAAGTTACTTCAGTCATGGAATGATTTCAAGCCATATAACAGACAACAGGTAATGTCATTTATCGTATTCCTGTGAAGATGAGTGTCATGTATCAATCAGTGTACTATATTTATGTTATGTTACTCTCTAGATGCAATAAGACCTATTTTCATGTCATTAGGGATCATGAAAAGGTCTGCATATATCATATCCTATTTAGGATTGAAATGGAGTTATTTTTGTAAGGCCATTTATATACAGCCTCTTCTGAAACATCCCCAAAGCCTTTGTAAATTGCCTTCCATATGGCTGTATTGTGTACAGGGCAAGCATTTAGGCGTCCAATTACCCACTTTGCCTATTCTGTGTCTTGTAGGGTCTTGTCCGTGATTCATTACTGCACTGTCTGAGCATCATGTGTGCATAATGGCAAAGTTAGAACATTTGGCCTACGTTTTCAGAACAGTCTTAAGAAAAAGTGGAGTGATTTTTGCCTGTTGATCATTTACGGAACCCAAATTCTGAAAAGCAAGGAAATAAGTAGATAATACCCAAATCTTACATTAGCCACATTAGAATAATTTAAGGTTAAATAATGCTTATTTCATACCAGTATGGAAGTATTAATTCTGACAGAATTAGGTCACAGCAATCAGTCTGTCTATAACACAAGTCTTGAGAAAAAGCAATATTATGCAAGTAGAAACTTATAAATGTTCAAATTAATGGCACATACTGACCCTTGGTTTAAATGAAAAATCTAGATACATGACTAATAATAGTGTGTGCTCCAGTTACTGAGCTGGTTAAGAACCAAGCACACACAGTATAGATGCTCCCTCAGAGTTGGTTTCTTGCAACAAGTGAACTTGAGCAATTTTCTAGGCTAGGGGTCATTTTGGTGGGATATGCAGGAGGAGATGTCATTTGTTTTAATCAGTTCCCAAATCTGCCTTACCTTTCCAAACTGAAATATTGGCCAACTTGGGTTTGAAGTTGAAAATAGTCTGTCACCTCTTACCCTCTGCTTTCCTGATTACATGTCAAGTTTTCCAATAACATCAATAGCTGATTTTATCATTCCTCCCCTTGAACATTTCTTGCACAAATTTATGCTAAAATTTTGAAAAGTCTTACGTACCATGGTTTGGATGTTAAATTGAGATACAAAGAAACATTATATACCTGAACGTATAAAAGTGCTGTTTCTTTCTTTTTTTTAAATCAAGTGCTCAATTCACATAATTTTTAGAAAATATTTTAGTTAATGAGGTGTAACGTCTAGAATAAAAAAAAAGGAAAGTTTTTTTTTTTTTGTATTGGTGGATGAGTTAAGAGATTTGATTATGTTCATAATGGAACTGTGCTTGCCACGTCACTTACTTAACATGTACTTCCTGATTTGAGGAGACCTCTTGTTATCCTTCTGTTTCAAAAGCAGAGCATTTTACTGCTTGAAACAAGAAAAGATCTCCGTTGTCACCTAAATAACTACGGTTAGTTTCTTCCTTAGCTGCTGCTAACCAATCAAGTTTAGAGTACCTGCTTGCATAGTGTTAGGGCTTTCCATAACTGTAAATCTCCTGGAAAAGTTTGGAGACGGTTGTCAAGATTTTTTGAATTACACGTATCCAAAGAAACATTAGACAGCAGTCAAGATTGCAAATAGGAAATATTTAGACTCCAAGTTGAACATTCTTGAGGTAGTTTTGGAAAGATATTTTCATAAATATTTTGTTACCTAATGTTTTCTTTGGTTAATTCAGGGTCTCTTTTTGTTTAGTTCTTTCTCTCTAACAATAGAGGATTTCCATGGATTATTAATGTAGACTTTGTGCAGCTAATTATAGTTTCATTACTATACTCTTGTTTTAATGGGATAATTTCAATACATAACTGAGAAAAATTCTTGAAATATAATCAAGGGCTGAAGTGTTCTATGAGTGCAGCAATAATAATTGTATTTTTCCTTTTAGTCCTAGCAGACAGCCTTTTGTGCTATTTGGTAACCACTCAAGTAAAGAGAACCTGAACTCGGGTAACTTTAATTTTCCATCTGAGGGACACCTGGTTCGAAACACAGGCCTCGGTGGAAGTACTGCTAAGCACATGGTGAGCTTTTAAGTAACTTATTTGTTTGTTTTCCCAAGCACTGTGCTTTGGCTTTGCTAAATTTTTTCTTTTTTTGTATTACAAAAATGCTTATATTGGTAATCAGTCAAACATCAAATGTGTGAGCAGTACAAATATATATTATGGAAGGTTGAAGTAAAGCAGTTAGACTTTTAATGAAAAAGGAAGAAATAAACCCCTCTTGGAAGCCAAATTTAAACTCGTATTAGATGAAGCCTCTATTTATGCGTTGGGGCCTTATAGGGGCTAATGTGAAAGAAAACAGCTCTCTGAGAACTGTGCATAGTTGAAAATATAGGGTTTAATATTCTGACTGACTCTAGGCTGCAAATATAAATACTTTCTAAAGGTGCATATTTTAACTTCTTTTTCCAGTAATGGAAGTCTGAGTTACAATAGAATCATAAAACTCTTGGTTAATCGTTCTAAAAACATGCAGTATTAAAACTTGTAAGTTTTGAAATAACTTAATTAATTGTGCGCTTGATGTATACAAAATCATTATTTCCAAACTTGATTATTTTTAAAACAACCCGACAGATCAAACAGATCCCTGAAAAACTTTCAACTGTTAAAGATTGTTATTAAGATGAACTTTTAAAAAGTTAATTTGTTTCCATTTTCAAGTAAAAGTTGAGTTAAAAACCTATCATGAGCTCGATGGCTTGTTGCATTACCACGCAAGGGATGCATTTTGGGAAGCGACCTCAGGGATTACAGATCCTCAGGCTGGCTGGGCTGGGTGCATCAAGAAGGTAACTCGAAGCACAAGAGGAGAGGTAGTGTGCGGATTGTATTGTTTAGTTCTCTCTAGTAGCCTGTTAGGAAGATTTTGAGAGGGTCTCTGAGTCAGCTGGGTGTTGTGTTGCACAGATGCTATTGCAAAAGATGTAGAATGTAGTTTATTAAGTACAGGTAATTATGGAGCAATGGCCTGGTAATGATTTTATGACTCCATGTTGGTTAGAGCAATATTTAATGAGCCACTACTTTATGGATAAGAAAAGGATTTTCTTGGCCCATTACACTGGTTAGGTAAAGAAGGAAAGATCATTTAATGTTTGAATGTAGGTAAACTTTGTTTTCTGTTTTCTACCCTCTCATCCTATTTCCACATGGATCATACTATTTTTCTTTCCATTTACATGGTTGGGATTCTCTTAAGATCATCTCTTGTCTTTGAGCCAGGTGTGATAGACACCACAATCTCCTGTGTCAATGAGTCTGTGGACTAAAGAAGGTGGTACACCTAATATGACATTTACTCTGCCTTGTTAAGTAATAGGATGCACTGAAAAAAGAGGTAAAAGGCATGGCTGCTTGGCAGAACTTGGGGCATATTAATGAAAAAATAATTTATATATAAACCTAAAAACACATTCTTAATTCACATGTGGATTCCAGAGCTCATCTTGTTTAAGGCCTTTATGAACCCCACCTATTAAGTCAAATATTGAAATACATTTTAGAAGGCTAAGATAACTATTTAAATACAGCTGATCCTAGCTCATGCACTTTCCGTAACATTTCAGTAGCTAGACAATTAAGTCAAATTTTAATTGACCATCTATTTATAGTTAATGTTTATACCATTTCTTATTGACTAAGACCCACTTGTATCTTATTAATACTCACAACTAGGCAGTGCAGTGTGTATCTCCAAAGGGACCTCTGGCTTGTTCAAGGACCTATTTTTTTGGAACAACTCACATTCCTTACTTGGGTAAGTCTTTCAACATTATCTCAGAGTATTTAAGGAACATGTCCTTTTGATCATTTGTAATTATTAGCAGCGGGTGTATTGCTTGTGGAGAGATGGAAAGCATATACTTCTTGATTCTCACAGCTGTAGGTACTCTGTAGTGCAGCAGCCCCTACAGGGAATCCTACCTGAGCATGACTGCCTTGACCCTCCCACTTGGACTAAAATAAGTCCAAAGTTTGGAGTTATCCAGAAGTAGGAGTTGGGACACATAGAGAAAAATAGAGTTTAACCTAAATACTTGTGGTTTGAAAATATCTTGGAAAAAGTCACTAAAGGTAGGGGAGAGGAATTCTTTTGAAGACCTGAAGATGCATGATGAAAACAGAACTGAGTGAGTCTGGTGGAGGTGTTCTGTTTCTCAAGTGCGATGCATCCCTTTGAAGTCAGTCTTAATTACTGCATTTCCAAGTCAGTATTAAATTTGGTTCATGTTGAGTGGGAGTTTAAACCCACCAAAGAAAAGCACATTTCAGCTTCAACTTAATATTACTATCTGACTCCCACCACTGCGGGGTCAAAAAATTGCTTGCCATATCCGAGGAACAAGCCATTCCTTGTTTAAATACAGGAGCATAACTGCAGTATCTCAGCGTTTAATCAGCTTATCAACTAGTTGATGGAATTTCTGGCAACTAGTTGATTAGTTCATAAGAGGGGAAACTGCAGAGCCACAGTGGGGTTCGGGTCTGATTGAGCTTCCTTTTGAAGTAGGCAAAACTACCATTGGTTTCAAGGGGCAAGATTCAAGTTCCCCAATGTTACAGTTTTCATGGAGCCTGGATATTTTGGTAATAACGGCCAAATGAATTTTTTAAATATCTTCTGGCAGCTGAAGCGTGATTTATAAAACACAATAAGCATAAAAATGATGCTTTGGGAGAGGACAAATCTTAATAAATTGTGAGTGCAGTTGTCTCAAATAAATGTTGCAAGCTACAGCAAAAGCCCTTTGATTTGGCATTCTGGGTAAATGGAGGGTGCCAGTAAATTAAAAATGCCAGTTAACTAAGAGGGAGGGATTTGGAGTGGAGGGCAGGTTCTAGGAGGACTTGGGGTCCAGGAAGGGCTCCAGATGCTGAATGGTGGCTTCTCAAATCTAGAAGCCCCCACAAGCAGCTCCCTGACCTTGAGGCTTCTGTTGGAGGTGTGGCCAGGTAACTCTGTTGCAAGCAGAGACACTGCCTCCATCTGCAGGTGCTTCCCCCTGCAGCACCCATTGGCCGCAGTTCTGGATCAAAGGGCTAGGAGCAGTGGAATCCACCTGGCCACAGCTCTGCTAGCAACAGCAGGGACAGGAAGCTGCATGCATGCACTTCTGGAGGCGAGTGCCCTCCCCATCTGGCACCGTGACACCTTATAGTACCTCAGCCCCTGCCCAACCCCCTCCTGGACCGAAACTCTCTCCAGAGTGTGCCCCGCAGCCCCTCCCATGCCCCAACCCCCTGCTGGCCCTGCATCATCTGCACTATGAAACAGACTTTCTGTGCAGACCAGAAATGTCAATTAATTGAGCTTGCTGGCTAGTGAAGTGCCAGTTACAGAGACTTTTATTGTGTTAGCAAATATTAGAAACAGTTTCATACCTATTATTATATTTCAAAATATAATGTGACATGCTTGATTTACTTCCTGGAAGAAGTTTATAATATCACTTGGACTGCATTCGTGTGTTACAAGTTAAAAGCAAATATTAAACTTTTTATTATAGACAAGTTGATAGGAAATCAAAAGCCAACAATTCAGGTTGGTAATTACCTAGCAAATTGCATCTGTTTTTTTCTTCAGAAGATGATTTTAGAGGAGAGATGAGAGAAAAGACTTTATACTGTTCTTTTGAGTCCTTTGTCTTGTGTTGTCTGAATAGTCATAACCTTTGATTGGGTAAAGAATATTATTGTAATAAAAGATTGTGTACTTGATTCCTAGCTACAAGATTCTTTTAAATAGATTTCACTAAATGCCAGTTCATTATATACCGTTACGTTTTTATCTAATTTCATCAGTTAAAAATAGCCTAGTAAAATTTTGTGAAAATGCTCTAACACCCCCCCCAACCTTCAACACAGAAATTCTAGTACTTGTGCTTAAAAAGATGATTTTAATCAAACACTTATAGCCACATGATAAATAAGTTTTCTGAGATGTATATATTAAATGTTACACAAGTATGTAACTTTCAACCAGATTAATATACCATATAGCCAGTCTTCCCTACAGAAACTTTGCCTGAAGTAGTCCAAAATCATTCAACCAACGTTATTCCAATGAGAAACAAAAGAATTAGTATTAAAACTAGTAGTCTTCATCATACAAACAATATAATTGTTGCATATACATTGCCTGTAGACTAAAAGTGTTATTAGGTGTGTTTCCTATGCTATCACAATAGAAAGGGGACACTTCACGTATCATAGGTACAGCAGCGTGGGGTGGGAGTTGGGGCTTGGAGCTAGAATGTATGTAATCATGGTAACCGATGACCTCCATACTTATCGGTTAAATGTTTAAATGATTACACTATTACATCCCTACTCTCAACTACAGGCAGTCCCCGACTTACGCGGATCCGACTTATGTCGGATCCGCACATACGAACGGGGCTTTCTCGCCCCGGAGCTCACAGGCAGCGGTCAGCCACCTCGACCTCCGGGGCGAGAAAAGCTGCTCCCGGTGCCCCTGGTCTGCTGGGGACCGTCTCCAGCAAACCAGGGGCACCGGGAGCAAAGCGGTCCCGCGCCAGAGCAAAGCCTCAGAGGCGAGGCACCCCCCTCTGCCGCTTTGCTCCCTGTGTCCCTGGTCTGCTGGGGGGGGGGCGCAGCTAGTGTGCCCCCCCCAGCAGACCAGGCTTTTGTTTTGGACCCTGGGGCAGAGCAGCTGGGGCGCTGCCGATTGGTCCTGCAGC